TATGAACAATGAAAGCGAAATTTTTTATTTTCAGCAATTATTCTTCATTATTTCTCGCATAAAATATTGTATGTATAAAGCAAGTCATTCTTGTTTGCTCTACAAATAGCTTCATACATTTTGAAAAGGAGCTTTTAACGATTGCGAACGTTTGTAGTTTACGTAAAATACAGATAAATATATGATATAATTTCATATCATGTGAGATTTGAATAGTATGGCATCAATTCATTATAATAACCTCCCCGTTATTGAACGGTAAAACGGAGAAAACAATATATTACAATTTCTCAAAATGTCGAATGTCTAATTGTAATATTATTTCCTTTCCTTTTCCGGCCAGTAGCGCCGTTGGTTGCGGTTAATTGATCGACTTCGCATTATTCGAGTCCCAAGTATTTTAATTGTTCTGAGATTATTGGTAATACCCGAGTTCTTTTTTTAAAGCCAGGTATTTTTGATTCAGCATAAAACAGCAAAGTTAAATAACTAACTATAAAGAATATGATATTCATATATTATTCGATGTTTCTGTAGTGTCGTCAACGGTGATTTCTGTTGTAATTGAAATAGCCGTTTATGTAATTAAATCCGAGGAAATATTTATAATCGTATTTTGTGCAGCTCTTGAACAGTTACATAATCAAGGGAGATTTCACGTCTACAAAACATATAGTCTTCTATGACATTTCTCGTAATCAGTGAGGACATTTTGACGAGTATTTTAAAGAGGCAGCAATATTTACCTGGTGTAAGATGAATAAATTATACGATGTGCCAGGAGCTCCGGGAAGATATGTTTCACAGAAAACGAAGACACAGGACAGCAAATAATAATTTTAGTCCCAACTTCAGAGAACTATCCATTTGCATTGCGTGATAAAACGGTAATTTTATATTGCCTAATAAAGCTGTAACTCTAAAGTAGAAATCCCAATTGAAATATGTGAAATATTGAGTTTATTGTATCGTTATAGTAAATATTACCCTGCCACAGAAAAGGCAGAGATACCGTTATTCGATGTAAAATACTTTCTAATTACTTAAGATCATTTTAAGGAATATCAAAACTTTCACGACCTGTCAAACATTCAGTGTACACATCATATTCGAAACAAATAGAATTTTCACATATACGATTGAAGCGTTTGATAAGTTGCAAGATATCTACAATTGTACTTCTATGATATACATTTTCCACCACAAGAGTATTTGAAATCGTGAAATACCTCTTTTTCGGCGTTTCGATTACTTTACTGACTATTCCCCGAAGTATGGAAATCAAATATTCACTAACCCTTAACAATAGACATGCTACGTTAGCATCGTAAGCACAGACAGCAAGTGGTTTTAAAGACCTCATTCTAATGCTGAAATAATAATTCAACTGTATGAGTTAAATCTTTTAGGCAAGGTTTAGCATTGTTGTAAATAAATTGAATACAGAGTATGGAGAAATTGTATTAATGAAAAGAATTACAGGAATGCCGGGTTGGGTGTCCTCAAAAGTTTATTTAATACGCTATTAATTAGTGGACAGTTCTCATCGGTTGCCGGGTGTCATTCGATTCGAGTGATTCGAGAACTCGCGCTGGACAAGTTTATACGTACACATACGCATCGCTCGAGAGCCGCGCGTCCGGGAACAAAGAAGATTCGAAAATTCCTCGAAGGCGCGAGCCGACGTGCGGCGTCACCATGATGACCGTTGAAGCTAGAGTCGTTATGCCAACACGAGCCGCAATGTATCGCATTACAAAATTCCGCACGAATCGTTTTCATACATTTTATATGGACTATCACTTATTATGGTCAGGGCGTAATGGGGCGCATCGACGGATTAGGCAGATTTTTACGCGTGATTCGTTGCGACCTCGCCCCGCTTCGCGCCTTCTATAATATGCGACAATTCATATAAAATCTATAAAAACGGTCCGTGCGAATTTTTGGTGATAGAATACGCTGCGGCGCAGCACGTTTCTAATGTGCGTTACCGCTTTTTTTGCAGAGTGATACGTTGCGGCCTATCCCGGCTATAATATGTGCGAGTATTTACAATTTCGGCTCCTGTAATATGGAGAAAAATTACAAAAAGCAATGAAGTCTATAACCGAATATGTAAGACCGCGTGTGAGCAGATAAAGATTAATGTTTTATTTTAGATTGTATTGAAAATTCTTATCGAGCGTTCTACGTTTCACATTTCCCATACGAGCAGACGTTACTACGTAATATTTGCGATACGCAAGCATTAATGACTATTTCAATCGTGATAACTGATTATTTCCTGCACTTTGTTAAATTAGATGGTAAACGAAAAGTACTTACCGAATGACAGCTAGAGAAAAAATGCAGTAAAACTAAAGCGACGGCTTTTTATGTATTCGAAACTTTTAGCACGCATCTAATGCTATATGCGACAATTCATATAATCTATATCTCCAAAATTCGCATTTACCGTTTTCATAGATTTTATATGAATTGTCGCATATAGCATTAGATGCGTGCTAAAAGTTTCGAATACATAAAAAGCCGTCGCTTCAGTTTTACTGCATATTTTCTCTAGCTGTTATTCGGTAAGTACTTTCCTTTCCGAATTTTCAATACAATCTAAAATAAAATATTAATCTTTATCTGCGTACACGCGGTCTTACATGTTCGGTTATAGACTTCATTGCTTTTTGTCATTTTTCTCCATATTGTAGGAGCCGAAATTGTAAATACTCGCACATGTTATAGCCGGGGTAGGCCGCAACGTATCACTCTGCAGTAAAAGCGGTAGCGCACATTAGAAACGTGCTGCACCGCAGTGCATTCTATCACCAAAAATTCGCACGGACCGTTTTTATAGATTTTATATGAATTGTCACATATTATAGAAGGCGCGAAGCGGGGCGAGGTCGCAACGAATCACGCGTAAAAATCTGCCTAATCCGTCAATGCGCCCCATGACGCCCTGACCATAATAAGTGATAGTCCATATAAAATGTATGAAAACGATTCGTGCGGAATTTTGTAATGCGATACATTGCGGCTCGTGTTGGCATAACGACTCTAGCTTCAACGGTCATCATGGTGACGCCGCACGTCGGCTCGCGCCTTCGAGGAATTTTCGAATCTTCTTTGTTCCCGGACGCGCGGCTCTCGAGCGATGCGTATGTGTACGTATAAACTTGTCCAGCGCGAGTTCTCGAATCACTCGAATCGAATGACACCCGGCAACCGATGAGAACTGTCCACTAATTAATAGCGTATTAAATAAACTTTTGAGGACACCCAACCCGGCATTCCTGTAATTCTTTTCATTAATACAATTTCTCCATACTCTGTATTCAATTTATTTACAACAATGCTAAACCTTGCCTAAAAGATTTAACTCATACAGTTGAATTATTATTTCAGCATTAGAATGAGGTCTTTAAAACCACTTGCTGTCTGTGCTTACGATGCTAACGTAGCATGTCTATTGTTAAGGGTTAGTGAATATTTGATTTCCATACTTCGGGGAATAGTCAGTAAAGTAATCGAAACGCCGAAAAAAGAGGTATTTCACGATTTCAAATACTCTTGTGGTGGAAAATGTATATCATAGAAGTACAATTGTAGATATCTTGCAACTTATCAAACGCTTCAATCGTATATGTGAAAATTCTATTTGTTTCGAATATGATGTGTACACTGAATGTTTGACAGGTCGTGAAAGTTTTGATATTCCTTAAAATGATCTTAAGTAATTAGAAAGTATTTTACATCGAATAACGGTATCTCTGCCTTTTCTGTGGCAGGGTAATATTTACTATAACGATACAATAAATTCAATATTTCACATTTTTCAATTGGGATTTCTACTTTAGAGTTACAGCTTTATTAGGCAATATAAAATTACCGTTTTATCGCGCAATGCAAATGGATAGTTCTCTGAAGTTGGGACTAAAATTATTATTTGCTGTCCTGTGTCTTCGTTTTCTGTGAAACATATCTTCCCGGGGCTCCTGGCACATCGTATAATTTATTCATCTTACACCAGGTAAATATTGCTGCCTCTTTAAAATACTCGTCAAAATGTCCTCACTGATTACGAGAAATGTCATAGAAGACTATATGTTTTGTAGACGTGAAATCTCCCTTGATTATGTAACTGTTCAAGAGCTGCACAAAATACGATTATAAATATTTCCTCGGATTTAATTACATAAACGGCTATTTCAATTACAACAGAAATCACCGTTGACGACACTACAGAAACATCGAATAATATATGAATATCATATTCTTTATAGTTAGTTATTTAACTTTGCTGTTTTATGCTGAATCAAAAATACCTGGCTTTAAAAAAAGAACTCGGGTATTACCAATAATCTCAGAACAATTAAAATACTTGGGACTCGAATAATGCGAAGTCGATCAATTAACCGCAACCAACGGCGCTACTGGCCGGAAAAGGAAAGGAAATAATATTACAATTAGACATTCGACATTTTGAGAAATTGTAATATATTGTTTTCTCCGTTTTACCGTTCAATAACGGGGAGGTTATTATAATGAATTGATGCCATACTATTCAAATCTCACATGATATGAAATTATATCATATATTTATCTGTATTTTACGTAAACTACAAACGTTCGCAATCGTTAAAAGCTCCTTTTCAAAATGTATGAAGCTATTTGTAGAGCAAACAAGAATGACTTGCTTTATACATACAATATTTTATGCGAGAAATAATGAAGAATAATTGCTGAAAATAAAAAATTTCGCTTTCATTGTTCATAACGAAGCTGTCGACATTTGTGCGTCTTATTTCGCATGTAAGGAGACTCAGGCAGCCAACCGCGGTAACCAATCGGAGTTGAGATGGTTCCGCTGAGTAATATTCTGACTTTTGATTGGCTACTACTACACCGTACTCTTTGTATACGCATGGAGTCTGCTATTGGAGGGGCGTGCGGAGGCTGGATAGAATCGCGCGACCCAAGTCAGTTGCGCTTGGGATCGCGTAGTGAGTTGATCAAGATCTTTAGCGTCGGATTTTTCCGTTTCTTTCTTCAATGCTTCAAGACTGTCTGAATTTGTAAAACTGTGCAATGTTCGCTTTAGTTAAGTGTACCGACGGCAGGTATTGTGTTTGCAATCATTCTAACGTGATAAAAAGAAACAATGGAAATTGTTATCTGACGGATGAAACACATGAGAAGGATGCAGTACATTTAGTGGCAGTAAACGGTAATGCATTTAAATTGTTAGCCCCCTTCTCGTAAATTTCTTTAATCGCGATCTATCCAAATTCTTAGCATCTGTATATCCTGTTGCAATTCTTTCTTCTCTCTATCTTGCTTGTTTCCCAGGTTAACGTAAAACACGGTTTTGGATGATGACTTCCTAAATTCGTTGAAATTCACTTCTCACTTTGAAATATTGTAGTAGTTGTCGCTCTCCTTTTCTCTGTCTTCCGTTTTCCTTCTAATATATATATAGTGTTTTTTTAATTTCCCAAATACAGATAACCAATCGATCGTAGATGAAATTGCTGCCAATTTAAACATGGGAGTACCACGTGCATTATTGGTTGACAGGCCTTTGTCAAACACTATAATGACGAAGTCGACGATCCAAAATTTGCAACGAAGTCAAGGTATTTCGTCAAAGGCATATGAATACATTTCTAATGTTTTGAAGAAGTGGATAATAATATTGCATTTATTATTATGCATTGTATTTGTTATATTTTCTAGTGGGAAATAGTTCATGTGAAAATGAATGGCATATTCCTGTTACTTAAACTGGTAAAATGATATTAACTCTTCGGAAACATGTATTCACTTGTGCATTGATCGCTTACCTTCAGTGCTTAATTGAAAACTCTGGTTTACACATATTATTCTATCCTTTTTTTTCATCTGTTTTCGCATCCAAGAAATCCTCTTTTTTGTGTGCCTCAACTGTTTCATCCTGTCAACATGTTTAAGTTTTCAATTTATTGTTCAAATGCATTGCTGCTGAGAAGAGAATGGACGTTCATTTCTTTTCGTAGTGATGAAAACTTGTTCTTTAAAATTATATTGGTTTTTTGGTTTTCTCTGTATTTTTGGGGAGAATGAATTCCACGATTGCCTAGGTGTATTTGCCTCGGCACACACTTAAAGTACCATTTTCCTAATTTTTATTCTCTACGGTTGGATTTCCTTCTTGGCTTAAAACTGCAATGTGCTTAAATAAATATGCATAATCTTTCAGTTAATGTAGTTTGATTTTTATCTTCTTAGAGTACGATGATTTTGTCATATTTACATGTTGAAACGAGAATCTCGTGGAAAGAAAGTATTTAAAATGTAAATTAAATGTGACGAATGTGCCCACACTTGTATTATTTATGTGGTATAAGTGTTCGGATTGCAAAAACTGTCCAAAGCGAACTTTTTTTATATATTTTCAATTCCTGAGGGAGTGTCCATGTCTTCTAATTTGTCCCACTGAATTTCTGCGCCGATTATTTTGGCATTGTCGCACGTATTTCACAGGTCATAAACATTTGTTTCTTTTAAAAATATTTAATACTGATTCATTCACAACATTGTTTATTTTTTAAGGTTGCACAAGCTCTCCGCCTATTGTCCGTAGATATTTATATATGCCAGTTGTATAATTTTTGGCAGCAATCTGATATGATGAGGTATGACTTTTATTTGCGATGGGGTCCGTAAACTGTGGCGATTATGAAATTCTCGTAAATAGGTGCAATCCCTTGTGTGAAAAGTTAGTTACACTAATTGAGTTAGTCATCTCGCGATTTATTGTATGCAACTGAAGTAAAATTAGTTTGCTCGTTTATTCTAGCAACCTAATGTATGTAGTTTATACAGGCTATGACGTTAGACATACTTTTTCTGTGAAATAAGAACATTTGGATAATTTTAAAAAATTTCTATTGCAGTAGAATTTCCCTAGTTGCGTGATTCACGCAAACTCTGCAGTATCATCAGTGATTTAAGAATATTTGTTTCTTCGGTTATTATATTCTCATTGTATAGGTTGGACTTGTCGAGTAGAGTTTGGTATCATTCGAATAACATTTTATTTAAACGACCATTGAAATAAGACTTCATTCGTTAATCGTTATCTTCGTAATTTGAAATATTCGTTACTTGCGTTATGCATTAACCGTTTTCCGATATTAGTATAATTTTTAACTTTTTAAAAAACGACAAAGATCTTTAATCTTATAAATTTCTGTAGAATAGTACAGTGAATAAAGGATACTTTGTAACATTCTGAATCCCACATAAACGTTTGAATTTTGTAAAATGAACATGATGTCTATAGAATATTAATTAATAAAACACATAATTATTACGTCAACTTAAAGAATTTCCGAAAGAATTAAACAAATAGATCTTTGAGTTGATCTGTTTTAAATGAAAATCCATCAACATGTAATAAATGACGTGTTTGCGAATAGAAATTGATATATAACGAAAAACAAATTACGAATAAACAAGTAAGTAGTTAATGGTTAAACATATGATTCGAAAAGGCTTATTTATTTTTGTTGAATAAATGTTTATCGTTTAATATTATTCTTTACCCGTTATTCGAAAAAACTGTGCCCAATTGTGCTGTTAGGTGATATCAATCTTACCCATGATATGCTACCTTTTATATACATTTTTTCTACTTTATTCTACCGATATATTCACATTGTGCGCTATCTTGAGATTTACCTTGAATAGAAGTTGCTGATTTAACGATCGAAGAAAGTACTTTAAATCTGACATTAAGTGAACTGTCACATCATTACATTACTTCGCAAGGTGCTCTGCTCTCTGAAGGAAATAAGTCAACTTTAGCGGTAGGTAGCGATAGCGGTAGGTATTCAGTGATCTGGACAATAATACATTACATTGATATATTAATTACATATATTGATTTCTTATTTAGATATATAAACTTACTGAATTCTCTTCGTTGTATGTATTCTTTTGTCCTTTATTTCATTAAAATCTCTGCATTCAGGGATTACATTTCTTTCTGGTTTCTACCATTACTCGTGTCATTCCGCTAAAGAACTGTTCTCCCAACCAGACTCTTAGTTTTCTACTTATGCCCGATTCCACCAACCTGGGTCAAAAGGCTAATCCTGCGTTACAACGAGTTGCTCCTTCCACCATATTTGAACGGCGAGTCAAATTCCATTAACCGCCTTTTAGATTAACCGGCCAAATTCAGTCGTTTACCTTCAGTTAATCGTAATTCAGCCTAAAAACTGCACAAACGTGAGAGAAATATGGATTAGTTTGAGTGTGCATTAACATCTCCTAAAGACGAAACTCATGAAGACGTTTTTTATTTTATTCAGAATTTCTTAATAATCGAAGTACGCTTGAAAATACTTCTTATTAATTCTGAACCAATGAAATTTCTGGATAGAGACTTTCCCGAAAATAGTAATCAGAATGCGATGTGTTTCCTACGGGTGTAGAAACATTGAATAGTCTGCTATCTCGATCATTCTTCCCACTAGCCTTCACCTTACATCGCAGCTGAAGGCTTATCCTGGTTTTCGCGTTACCGTTTGCGTTGTTCTAAACTTAGGCGATACATATGAAAGGATGCAATTGAGAAGAACGAAATATACTCCTTCAAAATTATCATACGTTTGAACAAAAGTATCTAAACGAAAGGATTTTTGACAACCGTTAGAGCAGTTTCTATCGATGATAGTTTAGAGCCTATTGATGAATTAGATTGAAACACTAGCAGTCCTGTGAAACGTGTCTCGTGACTGCATAATGACGAAGTCGACGAACCAAAATTTGCAACANGTTTTTAACGTATTTTTGTTATAAGAAACGAGCAGCATAACAACTGAGATTCTTATTTCATACATCGACCCAATATTATTCATATTTTTCCACGAACTCTAAGATTATCGGAATTTTAAGAGCTTATTTAACTGGCCTGTTACCCCTTTAACGAGCTTCATAATTTTCTACCAGTTTTCAAAATTCGATATGCGCTTTCTTTTTTTCTTGTTATTTGGTTAGTAGATATTTTCATCAATCATATATGTTTTATTTTTAGAATCTATCAGCCCAATAGCCACAGGTATGCAACTGACAGACGATTATCCTGATTGGAGGCATAGTCCGATTCAAGTAACTGACCCAAGAACTCCCAAATAATAATGCAATTTTGGCTATCGACACACTACGAGATACATCAGTTAGTCCATCGAACAAATGTTAGTACTCAAACGCCCCAAATTGCGACTAAAGAACTGTTCTCCCAACCAGACTCTTAGTTTTCTACTTATGCCCGATTCCACCAACCTGGGTCAAAAGGCTAATCCTGCGTTACAACGAGNAATGCGCTCGTTGCATTTCACGGGCAGTGCTGGAATATCAACAAACGTCATATTGGATGACAACAATGTAAGTAATGAAAACCTCAGCGACCCGGAATACGTTCCATCGGATGTCGATTCCATTGATGATGATCATGACAATGAGAATAAAGATTTTCGATGCTTCTGACAAAATGGTCCAAAATATAATGCGTCTCAATGATGATTGCCAAAGTATTGCAAATAATGCATCTTTAGAACATAGTTCAGTCGAACGAACCGCTTCGTTAACGGGTAGAGGTATTAGTGGCTCTATATATACTCTGTCACAGCGCATGTTCGGAAGATAAGACAGGTAATGATAATTTCGAAAGCAACATGGAGGCATCAAATCTTAGTGGATCAAGTAATTGCACAAATAATCTGAGTATATCTGATTCGGAAAGCAAACGAATAACTTCCTTCAATGATGATGCTGAAATGATTGTTGATCTATCTCGCGGACCCGTTGGTTCTGGCAAAAAACATCGTTGTTTTTTCTGTCATAAACTTCAGTCAAAACTCGTTCGCCACTTAGAAACCGTACATCGCGATGAGCCTGCCGTGAAAGAGTTTCACGTATTCCCAATATCGATGTTATCGGAGACGATGACGAAGAGCACTGCAAAAGCAGCCAGTTTGAGGTTTCAAATACAGTCTCTAATAACGACTCAACATCAGGCATGGAATTGGAAATGAGAGAGTACGTCTCATTTGACAAGGGACGTGCGGTATCTAACAAAACGACAGTAAGGAAGAATTGTAAGTTATCACTAAAGTAATCATATATACAAGATATTTTCATCTATCCATTATTATTTGGAGAGGAGTGTGAAGTATGTATAGCCAAACATCAGTCTCTTATGGAGACGCCCAGATAGTTATCGTTCATTTTTAAATATATTGTAATACAATTCGCCCAGAAAATTGGTAACTTTTATAGGCGGGGGTGTTAACGTAACAAATCTAACTCAGAACAAATTTCTGTTCACGATATATTCATTAAATATAAGCAGCATTAAATTAAGTTGTTTTTAAATGTTAACACAAAGTTAATGCCTTAATATAGTTTTCCGTTTAATAATTTTCAAAGTATTACCATTTTAGAAATAGCGACGTGACAAGGTGGTGCATTTTTCGATTAGAGACTGCAATTACTTTCTTTTGATATTTCATCGAAATTAATGAGAATATAAATACATTCAGAAAGGCATTATGAACGTTACTTTTTTCACATTTGCCAAGGACTAATTTCCGTCCTTATTTACTTATTTTGTTCTCAACAGCTTCATCTAACAGAATCAAAAGAGCACGGTGGACGGAAGAGGAAAAAGCAACAGTCACTGATATTTATGGACAACATTTTAAGAATGGCAGATTATCTTCAAAGAGAAGATTAGAAGCGGATATTCGTAAAAATCCATCCTTGAGCAATCGAACTCCAGCTCAGATTAAAACCTGGATTAGCAATCAACAAAGAAGTTCAAGGATTCAAATGTCGTAAAGAAATATCTAACACCGTGGACCTAAATGGTTACCTTCCAAAGCGGCATGCTCTCCACGCCAACTGATTATTAATACGTTAAGCGCCACGGCTGGATTGTTTTCCTTTCCTTTTAGCGCTACTGTCAGCCATC